CACATTTGTGATACCCGATAATTATACCTTTCTCGAAATCAGAGAGCTCCGAACTGCGAGGCATCTTGCATGCGACTAAAGCCCATACTGTTTCCTACACGATATATACCGGCGGAGTCCGTAACGTACCTTAAGACCGCAGATACCGACATTAGCATAGGTGTCCAATACTTATTGGTAGTCAGTGTACAACAAAAATGTAAATTTACATTTCAAAAAATATTGGCAAAGTTCTAACTGCTATGCAAATTTTGTTATGTTGAGGTCACGTGTTTAGACCGATAAGAAACCCTCTTAATATAAAGTCTGCAGTGATACTCCAAAACTTTTAAAACGTTATTTTGCTAATACTGTCATAAACTGGCTTCAAAGTCCAAGGAGTTAGAAGCTTATGTTAAAAACATGATTATTCAGTTCAGGAATGAGGGTTTAACTGATCGTGCTATAGGTTACAACTGAACATTAGCTTATTTACTGTTAGAAGTGTTGTAAAAAAGTTCAAAGAGACAGGATCGATGGAAAATAAGATGAGAAATGGACGGCCTCGAATACTTTCTGCATTATCAAAGAGGTTAAGAAAAACTCTAAAATAAGTGCACCCCAGTTAGATAAAGATGTTGCTAATACTTCGCATAAAACTTTTAATGTACAAACTATACAGAATGTTTAACATAGAGGAAGTTATTATGGAAGCAGCTAGAGAAAGAAACTTTTCATTTCAGAAATAAACAGAAGAAAGAGATTAGATTTTGCAAAATCTCATGTTAATTTATCAGACGAATTTTGGAATACAGTTATTTTGTCCGACGAATAAAAGTTTAACATTTTCGAGAGTGATGGACGACAGTATGTGTGGAGAAAGCCTAACACCGAACTGGAAAAACAACATTTAACACCAAATGTAAAACATGTTGGAGGAAGCGTCGTCGTTTGGGGCTGTATAACAGCCACACACAAAAGAAGTTGGTAACTTGTGCTTCATTGACAGTATTATGATAGCACATACTTGCATTGACATATTGCGCCATAACATGAAATTCAGTGCCCGAAAACTTGGCTTAAGAACATCATTTGTGTTTCAACGGGACAATGACCCTAAGGATACAGTGAACCTCGCCTGGCAATAGTTACTCTATAACGCTCCTCTCCAGTTAAAGACACTGTCTCAATCGCCTGACATAGGTTCAATTGAAAATTTATGGCACAAATTGGACCAAAAAATCAGGAAATATAAAATTTCGTGTAAAGATGAACTTAAGCGTATACTCCTGCAAAAATGGCACAAAATTCCTAACAGAACTGGTTTTTCCCAACAGAACTTTTACAACAACCAGGACTTTGGTTTTCTCCATGAGAAATAGATTACAAGCTGTTATAAATGTAAAAGGTTTGAATACAAAGTATTAAGTTTTGTTTGAAAATTTTGCTGAATGATTTTGGCAATACATTTTTGACACGCAAATTTACGTTTTTGTTGTATAGTTTGTGTAAAAGGCATATTAAAAGGGAAGTTTCATTAGATTTGTGTCTTTATTGCCTCCTGTGCTAATTATGTCCAGCTAAAATTGTCAATGATTTCTTTCGTTAGCTAGATTGATCAATTATAGGCAATTGCCAAATACTTTTTTTACCCACTATATCTCACATGAAACTGGCGAGATCAACTGAAGTGCTTCTAAAGACTGTCGTATGGCGGTCAATAAGAACAGAACCTTAGATGTCTGACTATACCGATTTTTTTAAACTTATTTTAAATTTGTCTTAAAGAAACAAAAGTAAAAAGGCATTATCAACACACACGCTTCTTCAAAATTTCGCATTTACATAGTTTCTTAGTTTTCATTTAAAATGTTTCTGAAAAAAAAATATTGATAAATACATAAAACAAAGATTTTACAATGCATCAAAAATCGGGATGACATTGATCCAAGTAATGGACAAAAGAGTTATTCAGAACTTTTAGCAACTTCTGCAGAATTTGTTAAACTCTAGTTATAAGCATGGACTTTTTCATTCAACTGAATAAAAAAGATGTAATTTTTCGGCCATAGCTGTGAAAGATGTAAACATAAAATTTACAAAATGCTTTTCAAAAATTACGGCTAGGTGCCATGAAGCAAAATTCTATCGAAGACTGCAAAAATATCGATGATCCAGTGACTAACCACTGAGTTGTTCAGCTTATCAAGCATTCCAGTGATGCAAAATTTTACTGTGTAGAGAAGTACAAGAGAAGAAAATAACAACAAATATTCTTCGGGAATTGTTTGGTTGGTTCATTAGATTATGGCACACACTAGGGCTATCTACCTGAGAGAAAGGATGCCTTTGTGGAGGATTTTCTAAATAAAACTGACACATATACATGTTACACACAGAGAAAACCATTAAAACACTCATGCAGCCAGCCCCCTTGCTGGAATTCGATCCTCAGACTGAACTACCAGTATTCAGCGATTTTATCGCTGGTCAGTTGTGTTCGAATCTGATGAAAGAAATAAAATTGATTATGACTCTTCAAAGCTCCAACAAATATAGAAAAGATGCTTTATAAAACATTTCTTCAATTTACTTATAAATCAAACACTTTCTCCAGCAAATTTGCAATTAAGACATGATCAACATAGTGTACATATACCGATATTTTTTTCACAATCTTAAAAAACTTGATAGGAACTGATAAGCTGAGAACTGTCGAAGTTTGTAACTTTTTTTAATGCAAACAGCAATTCACAATGTAGTACGTACACAGCTATCAGCCTGACATCAATGCTGAAAACTGCAGAATGATGGATACAGGATCTCATTTTTAAGGTAGTAAAAAAGTCACAAGAACTTACTTCATTCATGTATTTATATTTACTCTGTATGGCATACTTATTCTTATATATCAATAGCCTTACAAATGTTTTTTGACAATTCTGATACAAACAGTTGCAGCAAAGACAAGTTTTTCAATCTGATACTAATGGAAATGCATTTGAAGCATGTTAAAATCCAGGAAAGTTGAACTTCCTTGCATTTCTGTCAATAGAAAATGATACTATTCAGGAATTACACTAGAATGACACCATCCACAATAATGTCATCTTAAAAATTAATTGTAATTTTAATTAAATTAAATGTAGATATATTTAAATATTAACTGGTTAAATTTATATAGAGTGTAAAAATGGCATCGATAACCTAGAGAACCAAAAATAATGGAATTGGCTTGTATTAACATCAAATGCAAACTTGAAACAAAACTATGAACTTTAAGCTGAAGTTCACATGCAGAAGAGCATTTTTTAAATGAATCTACTCTTACAGAAGTGCAGACAACTTTTAAGGAAGTGGAAAACTATTCTGATGCAAAGAAAAGGTAGAAAAATCAAAGCATTACTTTTAGATGAATGTATAAATATATGAACAAACTGAAACAATTACTGCAAACAACTTTTAAGGAAGTGGAAAAAATATTCTGATGCAGAGAAAAGGTAGAAAAATTACAGCATTGCCTTTAGATGAAGGTATAAATTATATGAACAAACTAAAACAATTATATCATAATCTAATGAAGAAGATGCTTTTTGTGAAGTTTAATCTATTTTAGATCAAGAAGTGTCAAACAAAAGACAAAATCAAATAGACAGACTTCTTTGAATGAACAAGATCCTAAGTTTTTTATTTTGCATAAATCTCTTATCTTTATTTTAAAATATTATTCACCAACAGTATTTCAAAAAATTTAATATTCACTTTTTCAAAAAAAATTAATTAAATTCAATGTAAAATTTTTTGCCTACTTTGCTCACTTTGTAATTAATATAATGTTTTTAATGAACTTGATATGCTGCACATCTACTCTTTTTAACACATTCTAAACATACTGAAGATGATAAATTCACCATGCAATTCAATAATTGACATCACCAAGTCATTTTCTAAGATGATCACATTCACAAAAGACAAAACTTTCTGAAACAGTGGACTTCTTAGATAGAGTTCACTGTATTCCTGTAATGCTATCAGAATACCAGACCACATTAGTGAAGCTGACTTAAAAAGGATGGTAGTTGTTGACAGTTGGTAGGATGAAGAGACAACAAATATGGTTTTTACAGGAAAGTGGAGGAAAAAGTCTATGCAAAACCTACTGCAAGTGAATGTGAATACTCTCTCTTTTTTTTTTTTTTTTTTTTCCAAAACACATTACTTTGATGTATTTCATAAATTTTGGTTTACACACAGGGGTCTTTGAAATGAAAAAGTGAAATAGCATTTATAATTATAGTCTTAATTCAATAAACATCAGTACAAACTGGAATTAAAGCTCCTTTATTTCAAGTATATTAAACCAAGAAATTCTGAATCTGTAGTTTAGATGGGTTTGGCAGTTCTAGCATTAAAAATTCAAAAACTATATCTCATATCATAAAATGCAACATTCTTTTTCTTCTCTTTTTTTTTTTTTTTTTTTTTTTTTAATAATTAAGAACTTGTATATATATGAAAGTAAAATTTCCTTGCTAAGTCTACTCACCTCAGTAAGTTGCTTTGATACCTTATTTTCAAAAACTTTATTAAAAAGCTTTGTTTATACATTTTAAACAGTACTCAGATTATTTATGCCTCCATTCAAATTTATGTATAGTTTCCTTTTTTCTTCAAAAACAAACTTTTTATGCGAGATAACCTACACTATGTTTGTTACAAAAAGATAAAATACAAATTATGATTCAGGACACTAAGTGTTTTTCTGGAAAAAAAGGTAATAATCGACGAAATTGGAGAAATGAAGTTGATATTACAAAGTAAGTCATTTTTCAAAAGAAAAAGGAAAACATGACCCGCTTAAAAACATTTCATTGATAAAGACATAAAAATAAAAAATTCATGAACACTGTTTTGAAAATTTTTAACAGATGAGAAATATAACTTTGAAAATAACCAAACATGTTTGACTTTTAAATTTAAAATAATTACATTCAGCAGACTATAAAATTTATTCACTTTACTAAAGTTTAAAAATATTTTTATTATTAACTTCAAAAATATGTTATACTATATTTTACTTTTACAACAGCATTACTATATTTTATATACAAAGTCTGATTTAATAGCAAACTATTAATTTGCTCTTCACGTTTGTTCCTTATTACACTATCAAAACTTGATTACTAGTAAGTTCGCTTATTTTTAATACAGCACCTCTGACATAAAGATATGTGTAAATTATTTTCCTTCAAATCACAATGGAAGCTTTTATATATTTCAAATATAATGCAAAAGATTTTACACTTTAATTCTTTCAAAGCAAATATATTTCATATCTTTTAAGCTAACTTCTGAAAAAATCTCCAGTAACAAACATAAAAATCTGAATAAAAAATTTAATATAAAAATATATACATAAGTTATATACAAATTAAATACTGATTTATAAAAATAAATTATATTACATCTGTTCTTTATGTTACAAAATTTTTGATTCATAACTTTGTTTCGTGCAGTTGTCCAGATACTGCAACACAAGCTCTGTATGGCTGTTGATACGGTCTCAAACGAATTGGAGCCCCTACTCGGTGATTTGGAAAAGGCACATATATTTCGTTGTCATCTGCAGAGTCCACATCACCATCACTAGAATTGTTAGAAGGCACAAAATGTTCAGTACGAACTGGTTTCCGCGGCCTTGGCCGGCGATAATAACGGAATTCTCTTGGCAAAGTGTACGAGCGAGGAAGAGATATTTGGCTGTCAAGATCAGAAGGCACATTGTGAGACTTATATGGTACACCTGTAGAGGCTTCTGGAGGTGGACATCGGCAAGATGGTGTTTCTCGCACTGTCCCTGGGTTTCGAGAACGAGGATATATTTTAGTTTTTGATGCTGCAGACATATTACTGTTACTGGACACATCAGAATTTCGTGGATAAATGATATGAGGAGGAGAAGCTAAATAAGAGTTCCGTGATTCTTGGTAATCACAGTAAAGCCTAGAGCTATCAAGAGTCTCCGGAACAAGCAATATTTCTGGAGTTTGAGATCTTTGTTTAGACTTTGGCCGCATACCATTCATAATATGAGGTCCTATTAAGGAATGATATAATGGCAGACGGGCAGCAGGTGATTCTGGCCTCACCCAAGGCTGCTTTTTAGAATGTGGAATAGGTTGGCGCAAAGTATCTTGATCTCCGATTTCCATAGGATGAGGCCTTTTGAGTTTACCTTGTTTGATTTCTTCCTCAATTTCTTTCAACTCTTGTAGTTGCTGCTGTTTCTTCTCTTGTAATTTTTGCTGAATATTTACACGAGAACCAACACTACTTTCATGATCGCTGCTACAAGATTTGGCAGGAAGACGTTTCCAAAAGGGATTTGAAGTCTTGTTACCAGCCCCTAAAGCAGATACAGGGGCAGGTGGAGGAACAAAACTAGATGGTTTTTTCTTCTTCCTTTTAAATGCTGGATTCAATCTACAGTTGAAGACACCTGGAATACCAGAAACCATTCCATTTTGAAAATGTCCATTAGTAGGCTGAAAAATCACAGGATTTGGAGACTTAGGAAACTGCGTAATTCCAACAGATTTTGTGCCATTTTTTACTACTTCTTGTTCAGGAAAGGAATTGGCCTTGTTGCCATGAGTATCACAAGTATCAGCTACACAATCTGCACAGTGAGATTCAACATCAGTTTGTGGTGCTAAACTATGTTTCAAATGCTGGATATGAAAGAAACGATAGTATAAAACCATAAATACCATTCCTATAGAAAATCCACCCCAAGCAACAATTACAGACATACTGTTGTACCAACCTGTTTGGCCTTTAAGAAAAAGGTAAACCGCCATTAACAATGAATTCTCTAAAAACATAGTCACATAAAATGCCATCATTTTCTGACGCCCATTTATCTCTTGCAGATTTATATAACAAAATATATATACAAAAGCAATCAACATGGAATACATTGTTTTCTTCTTAATTGATATAGATTCACCATGGAAAACATTTTTTGGTGATATCAACCACAGAAACATCGTTAACCAATGCAGTGCAATAACAACAAACACCCAGTAATGGTATAATGTAGCATATACAGTGAGAACAACAACACGTGATGATACAGTGCCAAGACGCCAGAAAAACTGGAATATTACACCAAGCCATGTTAGAACAAGTTTATGAATATTACGCCGCCGAACATTTTTACTAAATGATGCCAGAGCCCAGCACACACTAAACAGAGACAGAATTGTTGACACAAGGTTTAAGTCAGTGACTTCTGAAGATGAGGATTTCAACCAAATTAGATATAACTGTATAAGTAGCATAGGAGCTGCCTCACAAAAGGCGTGGATCAGTCGTAGCATACAAAGATCTCTCACCTCATTTTTTACCACACTCAGATCAACTGGTAAAAAGAGCTTGAAATACCTCCACAGGACACCAAATTGGATCAAATGAACAAAGGCAACAACTGATAATTTGAAATCCTTCCCGCTGCTTCTGTGAAAGTACCACTTCAAAGACAACAACTGACTGATAAGTAATGATAACATTATGCACGACAATGAAAGAACAAACCAAGCTAACTGTCCCGTAACATATAATGTATAAATTGTAACAACATCAAACACAATGTCACAGAAGTATGATGCAAGAGAAATGATGTTGAACAAAACATCACAAAGTGGTAGAAATTCTTGAGCCATAGCAACTATGCTGCTGGTAAGTCCACATCTTGCATAATACAAAATTAGAAAAACCCAGCAGCAGGTGAAGAATTCTACTCATTGAATTTTGCTGATAATCTTTCAAGAGTATCTTCAATGTAAAGTATAACTTCATCAATTTTGATTCCAGCCTATGAAAAAAGAAAGAAAGAATAAGTTCATAAAACCAATAAAAGCTTGAAAAAAATTTAAATAAAATGATTTTTAGTGTAGCATATAATAATTACATAAAACCCCTGAAATCCTATCTGAAACTTAATTATACTTTATTGGGCAACTCATAATTCTTTTCACAGATTTATAACGAAATAAAATTATCATTAAATTTAAAAAAATTTTTTAATTAACTTTTAAAAAGGTCTTCTGCCTGAGGAAATTAATATTGCTAATATATTTCTTATTGTCCTAGCTCTTTGGAAAAATGTGACCAATATAACTGGCAATTCCTCCTATCTTTTGATGATCTGTGTGTGCATATTTCACACAAACTACTTAAAACATCTGCATATTGGCTGACATTTTAAGTAAACTGTACTTATTTGTTTTAACCCGGGGTTTTAAAAAGCTTAGATCATTTTATAAAAGGCAGACTGGTTGGCTTTATATTAAAAAAAGCTTTCTGAAGTTTTTTTTTTTTTTTTTTTTTTTTGTGTGTGTGTGTGTGTGTGTGTGTGTGTGTGTGTGTCGTTTTAGGCTTTTCTATTCCCTTTCTTAAGAAAACCAACCGCTCACCTCATGTATTATACTTAATATGCTTTTGAACTTTTGGTTTCTCTATTCTGAGCACTACATAGAAACAAAAATTATGCCACAATAAAGTCATTAATCAAGATAACTTTTTATCAGCAGTAACAAAATTACTGTATATCAATAATGATTGTTATCACTTTTAGAATTCAGTTATTTGTATGTATTCATGGCAATGAGATGTTATATAATCTGGAGAAACCGTTTTTGTGAGTAACTTGTGTAAGGTTTTGAAGTTAGTAAAAAGTGTCTCAGTACAAAATAAAATATTTAGTTTACAACTTAGTGTTCCTTTTCTTAAGGAGTTACAACAAAATAAAGTGGCGTCCATAACAGAAATTGGAGTAAGTGCAAAATAAGTAAGGTACGATTTGAATTTATAAGTTAAATATTTGCTCTTTTGGTTTCTCACAAGCTTTGATAAGCACGGTACAGTTTTAATTTATACGTTAAATATTTGTTCTTTTAATTTATCATGAGCTTTGATAAGCAAGGTACGATTTGAATTTAAACATTAATTATTTGTAATTTCAGTTTCTTATGAACTTTCATACTTTATTATGGATGCTTTAAAATTACAATCTAAAACTTTACGTACAACATTTACGAATACAACAAAGGTTATTGCCGAAGAAATTATGAAAAATGAAAGTGAATGTTTCCAGACTTTGTGAATTAAACTCACAGTTACATGATAAATTCCAGCGCTTAAAAAGTGTCCAACACGCAATTTTTGAATTATTACTTGGTGAGGGCGACAAAAAACAAGAAATGGAGTACGTTAAGGATTTCAGCAAAGCTGAAAATTACAGAGAAGAGTACTTTTCTTTTAAGGTTGAAACTTTTGAAAAAGATTCTGATAATTCAGTCGCTATGCAATTGAAAGTATCGGCTGCCAAAATTGGAAATCCAGAAATTTCATGGAGATATTAAATCCTTTTTCGGATTTTGGAGTCAGTTTTCTAGAATTCATAACGGTGAAGAAATGCCAGCTGAAGATAAGTTCACATATCTGATTCAGACGACTATTCCTGGTTCTCGAGCTGCCAGTTTAATAGACAATCCCCCCTACAGCTCAGAATTCCCCCCAAAGTGATTGAATTATTGAAAGAAAGATTTGGCAGAAGATTTTAGTACAAGTATATATTTATGAATTACTCTCAATGGTAATGAAAAATGCTGTAACTGATAGGAAACGATCAACTGGAATCACATTTAAGAGCTTTAAATACGTTAAGAAGATCTAAAGAAAAGTTTGCAGATTTTTTGTCTCCCCTTGTCGAGTCTTGTCTTCCTGAAGATGTTTTGAAAGCTTGGGAAGGATACCAAATGTCCAGTCTTCCTAATAGTAGCAACGAGGTTGCTGAAAACAGTCAAAGATCCCTTGATGAACTTTTGGTTATGAAACTTATTAAACTCATGAAATTAAACTTAAAAATTTCACAAGCTCATGAAATTTTTAAGACAAGAGGTTAATGGCGAGGAAATGATAAATTTGGCTAGATCAGGTTTCAGAACTCAAGTTAAGGTTAAAAGGGAAGTTGATACTGCAAGAAATGATATGCCTTGTTTTCCTTAAGCCTGATCATATGGCAAAAAAGTGTAACAGTAGTGTGAAATGTTTGATTTGTGCACGTGGGCATTATGTGTTACTTTGCCCAGATTTATGTTAAGATATTAATTCCTCATCAAAGTAGCAGATCAAAAACAAAATTCTACAGAGACTCTATTGACAAATCTTCCTTCAGTACATGAAGTATATTTGAAAACAATTACGACCAGATTATGGCATAGGGGCAAAGAAAGTACTCGAGCATTAATGGATGATGGATTATATCATTCCCATATTGAAGAAGAGCTTAGATGCTGAGTTAAATCTTCCTACTTCCGGAAAGGAAGTGTTATCTCAAGGACTGTTTGGCAAAGGAATTTCTCTGGTTGCTGAGCATAATAGATATACAGTAACTATTGAACGTTTAGATCAAAAGTATTCTACTTCAATGTCTCTGCTTGATCAACAGAAAGTTTGTTCAATGCTACCCAGAATATGATGAAACATTGCTTATTGAGCTTTCTTCTCGGATAATACTGGCAGATGTTGGGAAAAAAATATGCCAAAGAGTTCTAGGAGCCGATGTACTCAGAATAATTTTGACTGGAAGAATTGAGGTACTTACATCTGGAGTTTCAGCTGTAGAGACTTTATTAGGTTGGACAATTTTAGGACTAGGCAAGAAAAAGCAAGTGGTTAATTTGCTCACGTTAAATCTTCAAAATCTTGAGTTGCCGAAGATATGGGATTTAGAAGTTTTAGGGATTAAAAATCCTGTAGAAAAATAAAATAAAATCCTTCTTGAGGAAGAAAAGATCCATTTCAAGAAAACCTTAAGAGTATGTGAAGATGGAAGTTATGAAGTAGCTTTGCCGTGGCTAGCTGGGCATCCAACTCTTTATGATAAGTACGATATAGCTGAATCGAGACTTCGCAAGGTTGCAAAACATTTGTTAAATGAAAATAACTTTGTTTAACAAGCCTATGATGCTATATTCCAATAGTGGAAATTAGAAGGCATCACAAAAACTGTTTCAATGGAGCAGCTGTTTAAATTTGGTCATTATCTCCCTCATAGGCCTGTTATCAATCCATCCAGCAGTACTACGAAGGTTCGCCCAGTGTTCGATGCTTCTTTCAAGCGGCCTGGATATGCTTATTTAAATGAGTGTTTGAGTGTTGGACCGAGTCTGATACATCAGACACTGCCACTACTGCTGAGATTCCATTTAGAGTCCTTGGGAGTAGTTGCTGATATAAAGCAGGCTTTTCTGCAAATAGGCAAAGATGTACTGAGGTTCATGTGGTGGGAAGATGCAAAACGCACCAAGCTTAAGATTTATAGACACTGCCGAGTGGTTTTTGGCATCACTTCCAGTCCTTTTCTTCTGAATGCCACAATAAAATATCATTTAAGATTGCAGAAATTCCAAACAGAAAACCTTCAAAATGCAATTGATAAACTGAGAGAAGGGTTTTATGATGACAACCCAGTCACATGTGTCATTGACGTAAAAGAACTGGAGCAACTGAAATCTCAAGCTATGCAAGTAATGAATGAAGCGACATTTGAACAGAGATGCTGGGCTCACTCCAGACTTCAATGTCATCAAAGTCAAAGTGTTCTTGGTCTTAAGTGGGATACAGAAACCGATGAACTTTACTGCATTGGTTCTCAAGCTGACATGAAATTTAGTAAAGTTGTTAGGAAGAGAATGTTACTTTTTGTTGTTAACAGCACGTATGATCCTATAGGCTTTACCTCACCTGCTGCACTACTGCCTAAGTTACCACTCCAAGAAACCTGGGAAAATAAGTTAGACTGGGATGAAGAGTTGTCATCCAATTTGCAATTACGTTACTGAAGATGGGCTAAACATTTAGATCTTGTTCAGAAATGCAAAATCCATCGAAGAATATTACATGGAACTTTTGAAATAGGCAGCTTACATATACACTCACGTTTGTGAAAATTGCAACACTAAGAAGGAATCGTCATAATTGAATGCAATTTAATACACATTTGAGTGGTAGTGGTACAAATAAATGATTAAATGTTCAAAGCAAACAAACAAGAACAAGAGATCAGAATCAGTATTTTGTGTGGCCACCACGCGCCGCAATAAGTGCTGCTACACGACGTGGCATGGAGTCAAACAAAGTTTGAATGTCTGACTGAGGAAGAGCATTCCATATCGTTTGTACGCGTACCCAAAGTTCGTCTGCAGACGCAACAGGACGAGGATCACGAGCAAGACGCCGACCAATGACATCCCACACATGTTCAATTGGCGACATATCCGGGGAACACGCAGGCCAAGGAAGAAGCTGTACCTGCTGTGCTGCAAAGGATTTAACAATCCGAGCAGTATGAGGGCGGGCATTGTCCTGTTGAAATACAGCGCCTGGCAAGTTTTGAAGGAAGGGAACAGCTTCGGGCTGTAGAACTTCACGGATATACCGGTTGCTGTTCAGATTGCCCACAATTCGTAGCAATTGAGATCGTCTATGATATGCTATGGCGCCCCAGACCATAACTCCGGGTGTTCGTCCACTGTGGCGTTCGATAATGCACTCCGGAAGGTGGCGTTCACCGGCATAGCGTCTGACACGAATGCGGCCATCATGGTACCACAAATTAAAGCGGGATTCGTCAGAAAACACGACATGCTGCCAATCAGCACGCCAGTCTCTATGCTGATTGGCCCATTGTAGCCGCAGGCGGCGATGGTCGTGCGTTAGGGGGATCCTGTATAAAGGAGTCCGTGCGCGCAGTCCACACTGCAGCAGATGTCTACGAATTGATGAAGCACACAATGAAACACCTGTAGCTATTGACCACAGTGCTGCCAATTGTCTAAAGGAAGCTGTACGGTCCGTCCGCGCCATGCGGACCAGGTGTCTATCATCGCGAGCTGACGTCACATTTCGGGGTCCACTCCCGGATTTCCGAGTTGTCCGACACTCGTCCGTCCACTGCTTCCAAACGCGCATCACTGTGCTGCTGTTACGCTGCACACGAGAGGCTACTGCACGATACGACAATCCAGCTTCACGAAGGCCGATGATTCTCCCTCGTTCAAACTCTGTAAGTTGTTCAAATCTCGCTCTCTTTCGTCGATGAGGCATAAGTACAGATTGAGTTAACGTTTACCACTAGCAGATAACCACCGATAACCATACACGCCTCGCTACAGCCGTCTATTTATTCGGATCCATCAGCTGTTCAGAGGGCGCTGCTCGGCATACGCATGCGCTACGGATTTGCAATTCTAATCATTTGCATATCATGCGCTACTTTGCATTTCCTGAAAATTTCAGCTCACTCGCGTAAGTCCTTCATGGTGTTGCAATTTTTCACAAACGTGAGTGTATTTACTGATGCTTCATCTCAAGGATATTCTTGCTGTGCATTTCTATGCTGTGAAGAAAGGGAAGAAGTGAAAGTTTCAATGATTCTGGCAAAAGCTAGAACAGCTCCAGTTAAGAGACCAACAATTCTGCGACTGGAACTTTTAGGAGCTGTCATAGGAGCTAGAATTAGTTCAACAATATTAGTTTTCGAATTTTCCTTTGAAGACATTTTTTGACAGACTCAACGATCGTCTTGGCATGGATTACGAATACAGAATCATGGAACACCTTCATTGGAAATCGAGTGAAAGAAATCAGGAAACTGACCAATAATAGATGATTGTGAGGCCACTATAAATGGACGACCATTCACATATTTGTCAGACAACTCTAATGAATTTAAACCACTTACATCTGCTCACTTTATTCAAGATTTAAGGGAATGAGAAACCATTGTTTTGGATTTAATTTACTCTCAGCACTTACTGAAATGTATACGTTATCTTCATATTTTACACCTAAATATATGAAAATGTTTCTATAATGAATAGCTTGGAGAATTAGTCAGAAGTCCTAAATCATCTTCATGGAGAAAAACAATTTCTCCAGGAGAAATTGTTCTAATTGAATGAAAGAATCTAAACAGAATAAATTGGCCTTTAGCCCAGGTAATTCAACTGTTTCCTGGCAAAGGCAATATTGAACGTGTTGCAAAACTATGAGTCACCAATGGTGAAATCATACGGCCCCTTCAGCGAATTTATTCTTTTGAACTTACTTCTGCCGATAACTTCATTGAAGTACCTCAAAAACCAGAGACTATCCCAGAATCAGAAACTTGTGATAATGAGATTCCACAAAATGTAAAGTATCAACTCGTATCAGTCGTCAAGTAAAGCCTTTTAAACAAATGGACTTATGAACTGCCATTGACCTTTTTTTTCTAAACTTTTATAACTGTACTGCCATTTTTGTGTTTACTGTTCTTTAATGTCATATTCACATGTTTATAGTTTTTAACTCAGTTTCATGTCATGTGTTAAAATTTATGTCTATCTTACATTACATTTTTTAAGAAGTACATTTATCAGTTTTAGAATTCAATTTTTATTTGTATGTATCCGTGGCATGGTTATATAATCTAGAGAAAATGTTTTTTGAGTAACTTGTGTAAGGTTTCTAAGCTGGTAAAAAGTGTCTCAGTACAAAATAAAATATTTAGTTTACTACTAAGTTTTCCTTTTCTTAAGGGGTTACCAACAAAAATAATTAGAAGAAAACACACTTTGATTTGAAAAGTCACAGAACTTCCTGCATGACCCAATATATTTTACACCTAATTCTAAATTTTTCATAACTAACTACTCATTATATTTCACAACACTCATTATCATTCATTACACTATACGAAATCAGATAGATTTTAGATCAATCTTGAAAGAATCGTAAACAAGCTATTTTACAACAAACTCATTTTTTTTCCAAAAGGAACATTCTTGTAGACTGGTGATTGTTTTAAATAAAGTTCAATTATTTAAAACTATCATTAATCATCAGGGAAAACTTAAAATATATATATATATATATATAATTAAAATATAACTTTTATCTCTGTAAATGGTATAACATATTCTCAACAAAGATATTTCACAATTTGAGTGCTCACTCACTATATTTTTTATTACTTAATCCCTGCCTTACAAATAAAAATATGCTGGAGCTTGTATTCTAACTGCATTAACACACATGAACTTCAAGTTAAAATTCATAAACCTTACCATTTCCTTACTACAAGCTTATAAATCAAGAATTTCTTGATTATTTTTTTAAAAAAAAACACACCATGCAGCTGTTATTCCCATCTACATAACTTTCAAAAGCATATATTGAAACTTAAAGCAACTTTTAAGTCATTATTTAAGTTTATGAACAATTTCAGTAGTACAGCACAGAAGAAACATATTTAAGTTTAAACATGTTTAAGATTTATCATAATTCTAAAAACTACTTATGAATATAAAATTTTGTTACTTACGTATTAACGCCACCACACTTACGTATTAATGCCACCACAGCAGAAGTTGCGCTAATGCGCCATAAAGAACAATCATGTTGTTCGCACGCAGTTATCTTTTGGATTCCTTTTTGCCTTGTTGTTTGCTGATTTTTGACACCATTTTTTAGTGCTACGAAAATACGTCTTTGGGATTTGCCAAACACAGAAAAAGATGCAATTTTATTTTTTCAGAAGCAAAATATTTTCCAAAAAAACATAAATGTACCAATTCGCATGATATGAAACTTTACTTTGGTAAACGTACATTTTGGAAATGTAATTTGAGACAGTGTGATCAGCAAGTGGAACTTAGAAAAGACAACTGGTTTGAAGAAAGCAGGATTCTATTTTGTTCAGCTTTGAGATTCATATACTGCTGGTGCAAGGAGTTGATGTCGATTAAATTTTGTGAAAAGTAACTTCATTTATCGGATAAAACTGTTATAGATTGGAACAATTACATGCATGAATTATGTGTCTTGGATATGGAGAATAAACCAAACAAGAAGGTAGGCAGACCAGATTGCATTGTGGAAATTGATGAAAGTTTGTTTACTAAGCGTAAAAATAATTGTGGTCGAGTATTACCCGACCACTGGGTGTTTGGTGATATATGTAGAGAAACAAAAGATTCGATTGTTGTCACTGTTCCTAATAGAACTGGCTCTACCCTTCTTAATAAAATTATTGAAAACATTGCAGATGCTAGCACAATTTATTCTGACAGTTGGAAATGTCACCAAACAAATAGAATAGACAAAGAAGGATTCCTACATGCTAAAGTTAATCAGAAATACAATTTTATTGATCCTGATACAGGAGTTCATACAAAAATAGTTGAGAGAATGTGGGGCAGTGTTAAATGGAGGAACAGACATAGGGGGAACAGCAAGATATCATTTAGAATCTTATTTAGCAGAGTTCTTATGGCAACAGCATCAGGTCAAAAAAAATAGACTGTTTTGAATCTATGTTAAACTCTATATCGGTTCAATTTCCATCGAAATCCGATTGACTACTTTGATTTTAAATAAAGTGTTTTGATTTTTGAAAGGGTTTTGATTTTAAATAAAGTGTTTTAATTTATGATATGTCGCAAAAATTTTAGGTGTAGATTGGTGGCACTGCGATGGCCAAATATGCAGCTGTGGTGGCGTAAAAACACAAGTACCAAAATTTTTAACAAAATCTATCAGAAAAGTAATTATAAAAATATCATTATTTATTATAAAAACTTAAAAAATCCTGCTAAAAATATCAACAATAACAATTGTGAATTGGACTATGAATTGAACAATTTAGTATCAAAAATTTTAATCTTTTAAATTATTATGCTTTTAGAACTCTGAAGATTTATTTTAAAAATTTCATGATGCAAAAAAATAGTTCTAAATAGCTAATAGGCGACGAAACTCCCATAAACATAGGCAGTGAAATAACATTGGGTTTAAAGGG